TTTCTTTTTTCTTTTTTTTTTTTTTTTTTTTGAGGGCCTCACTATGTCCCCCTGCTGGCCTGAAACTCACTATGTAGACCAGACTAGCCTCAAACTCACAGAAGAGATCTGCACGCCTCTGCCTCCTGAATGCTGAGTTTAAAGATGTGCATCACCAAGCCCAGCCTTTATGTCCTCTATTATTTTTAAGGCTTATTGGGACTAATTTGTGTTCCCCAAATGCTCTTGGATGTGGGTTCATCCCCTAGAGTCTGGTCAACCTACCTAACAACATGCATTTGAAGAAACTTACTCTTCCTCTCCAGCAGCTATCAATTAATAATCGTTCCTCAGTTAGGGCTGGGGCTTCTTGTCCAACTATCTGCTCTATCCTGATCTTTATAATGTTCTTTTTTTCTAATTATTTTATTTTAATGTGTGCTTTAATGACTGCTTGGCCTGCATATGTTTAAGTATACCATGTGTGCAGTGCCCACAGAAGCCAGAAGAGGGTGTTGGAATCCCTGGTATTGGAGTTGCAAATGGTTGTTAACCACCAAGTGGGTACTGGGAACCCAACCCAGGTCCTAGAGCAGCCAGTGCTCTGAACCGCTGAGCCATCTCTCCAGCCCCCTTTGATGTTCTTAAGATAAGTTATAGGAAATGGAATTTCTAGACCCACATTTATTCATACCTTAACCTGACTCTAATCATGCTTCAAAGAACTCTTCAGTTCTCAATAGCTTATATTCCTATGGCTTACTGAAAATGGATATTGATTATAAAAGCAATCAACTACATGACAAATAATAAACCCATTTTAAGCATGCAGTTCTATGGTTTTGACCACTGCATCAATTAAGATATAGAATACTTTTATCACTATCCCCAAGTTCTCTCTTGTACATTTTCATCAGTCTTCCCCAGACCATAAATAACACAGATATTCACTGTCAGTATAGCTTATATTCGATCATATAGTTTTTAAATAATTGGAATTACACAGTATATATTCTTTGGTTCTAGATTCTTTTATCATGTCTTCAAGATCCATCCCTGTTGTTGCCTTAATCTACATATTCTGAATATTCTTTATAGTTCAGTAACACATCCTTTATAAGTATGCCAAAACTTGCTTATTATCAGGTGAACAACTAGGCCATTGGGCCACTATTCTAGCCTGAGGCTATTATGAATAAGCTACTGTATAGGTCTTTAGGCCATGACTCTCAAAAAACATTTTCTTTTTATTCCCAGGAAAAGTATAGATGCTAGGTATATCACCCCGTATTTCAAACCAAACATATTTCCCAAAGGAAATCCCAGATCTTGTTGGGGGACTAAATTAGCAGGATGAGGCAATGATGCAGGATATAATTTCAAAGCATCTTGGAAAGCTGCCTGGGAAGCACTTGGTCACCCTCCTCCCATATCAAGTGTAAAGCGTAAAAGCTCCCTTTATTCAGTGCCCTTCTCTCTATGTCTCCTGGCTCTGGAAGAGTCTAAGATTCCTGCTGTCCCATCCTATCATGAAGGATCATAGGAGAAAATAACCACAGCATAATGCTGTTCAATGCCAGATGCTCTAAATAGCTTCAAAAGGCAGTAGCAAGGTCAAGCAACATCGCAGGCCACTTAAGCATCTATGTGGTGGCCTCTAGGGCATTCTATGCCCTCTTTGTGGCTATAAGAGGAATGCATCCTTATGCTCAGACTGTGTAGTAATTTACTGGTCCTAGATTCTAACCTTCTAGTACAATATAAGCTGCTTTTTTTCACTGTAGCTCAAGCTAGCCTCAAATTCATGACGGTCTTCTTCTCATAGCCTTCCAAGTGCTGGATTTCAGATGTAAGCATCATAAGAGCAATAATCATCCTTTATACAAAATTTTATATGTATAAGATACATAGTAGACACGTGCAATTTGGATAATGTGTTATCTAAACTTGAGACAAGGGCATAAACTCCTGACTTATAAACACTTGGTATTTGATAAAGTAAGCTTTACTGATCCAATAGTTTCAATAAAATATTTGTGATCTCCTTAAGTCAAATAATCTTTCCCTGAATGAAACTAATGGTAAAAGTACAATTACATGTATCGTACATTTAGATATGTTATACAAATATTATCTTGTACTACTGTCTTCTGAAGTAGAAACCAAGAAACAGCCAGGAAACACTGCTCTCTTTCTTCTCCTTCCAATTCCCCCTTCTGTGGCAAAGGGGCATTTTAATGAAGGTACTGAAATTGTAAAAATCTAAAGTTGGTTTTTCAGAAAACTAAACTTGGAAAACAAGATAAACTTGTGAGATTGCCCAATGCAAAAAGGCTTTTCAGTAAAATATTAAAAATATAGGAATATTGTTCATGAAAGGAAAGATCTAAGCTTTGCAAATTAACAGAGACTTGGCTACATACACCTAATTATCAGGTGCTATCACTGACCTTAGGAGTCACTCCTTGCTCATGGTACGAGGTTTTCAATGGGTGTCTCTCTCTTCCTTCAGTTCACAGACATTGGGACCTTCGAGACTGTGTGGCAAGTCAAATTCTACAATTACCACAAGCGAGACCACTGCCAGTGGGGAAGCCCCTTCTCTGTTATTGAGTATGAGTGCAAGCCTAATGAAACACGCAGCCTCATGTGGGTGAACAAGGAGTCCTTCCTCTGAATTGTTGTTGCTAGACAATCTTCAGAAATCTGCTTTTAAATAAACCAGCACAAGCCTTAACCAAGGCACACCACACCATGGCTGTTTCCTACCAATGACCTCCAACCCCCAATTATTTGAAAGTGTGATTTCCTCTCTGATACAGTACCCCTGACATAAAAGATGTTAATATCACATCCTAAAGTTTTCCTTCCTTTCTTCTATGCTGGTGTTCCTGCATCTGTCCATGCTCAGTCATGCTGTCTGAGACTGTGACTACCAGTGAGACTAGCAGGCGTGTCCTATACCAGGGAGTTCCCGTGGTGTTTTGTTTCCAAGATGAGTAATTCCTCTATTTTATGTTCATTGTCAAATTAAAACAACTACGTGCTTGAGTCTTCCCGCGTGTGATACTGTAACATGTAGCATGCAGTGCTTGCCAGCATCCAAGCAGGTTTTGTGAAAATGCAATGCAATTAGTAGTAAATGGGACTCAGATGTTGTGCTTCCTATCAACAGCTCCACTTTTTTCACAGAAAGATAATGACAAAATAAAAATATGTAAAGAAGTACTTATAATGTATTAAAAATCTTTCAAGTACCATGGCATTGTCCGGTGGCCTAGTAAAAGTAGGGAAAAGACACTTGTGGAATTGGAGCTGCGGGCCACCCATTTAGCAACCATAGTGCTCAAACATGCATATTGATGGAATCCTTATGTGCCCTTTCGATTGAAATTTGTACAGTTGTGTATGAAATGGCAATCCACTTTTGATATTTCTTAATAAGGACATTGAAAACACATGCCCCAACTTGAACTCAATTTGTACAACAGCTATCTAGAAGGCAAATCTCTATTCTAGGTCAGTCTACTCAACCCCTATCTTGAAGGGCAGGGTGGTATACCTGGAGTAGAACCAGCACACCTCTTTAACAGTTCTCTAGCCAGTTCTAACAGTAACAGAGGTTCAAGCACCTGAGGAGCAATTAAAACATATTTGTCACTATCTTTATTCCTTCTTCTATAGTGACCACTAGTCAGTTACTCAACTCAGTAATAAGAGGGCATTGTGCTATAACAGAGCATATACACAAGTGTTAAAACAGGACATTGCAAGGTGCTGGCACAAAGCCTGTACTCCACACAGTTCTACAAGAGGGAATTTCCTTGTGAAAAATAATCTTTCCAGAATGATTTTATCACTTGAACAAAAATCCTATTATGTTGGAGGAAGTCAGTGGGGGATTTTGTTTCTTTTTCACTCCTGTAAACCTTTCACATGAGACTATGCAAGACAGCAACACATGGTGGCACACACCTGCAATCCCTGCTCTTGGGAGGATGATGCAAGAAGATTGAACGTTCAAGACCAACCTGTACTACATAACCAGACTCTGTCTCAAAAAATAATATGAAAGATGAATGAACACATCTTAAAGAGTTGATTTATTATAGAATTAAACTTGGAAGGCAGTCACTCAAGTCCCTTCCACCACTAGGTAGCTGGCTGCAGTGACTCTGCGCTGTCACCAGGGAACAGCAATGCCTTGGTGCTGGGCTAATAAATGTTTAAAAGAAACCAGTGTTTCTCAGTTTGTTGAAAAACAGTAGTCTGTTACATTTACCAAATAAAAGCACAAACCTGTTTCTAATTAAGTTTGTTTGTTTGTTTGTTTGTTTGTTTGTTTGTTTGAGACAGAGTCTCCATGTAGCCCCAGCTGACTTGGAGCTCACAGAGATCTGCCTGCCTCTGCCTTGCAAGTGCTGGGATTGAAGGTGTGCACCACTGTGCCTGGCTTAATTACCATATTCTTAAAATCTACCTTCAGTTATTTGAACAGACATTAAAATACTTTAAAAGTGGATTTACTACACAGGCTAAGTTTCTGGCAAGATATCCAATAGAAATGTACAATTCCCATTTAAAATCTCCCATTTAAGCTGGGCGTGGTGGCGCACACCTTTAATCCCAGCACTCGGGATGCAGAGGCAGGGAGATCTTTCTGAGTTCAAGGCCAGTCTGGTCTACATAGTGAGTTCCGGACAGCTGGGGCTACAGGGAGACCCTGTCTCAAAAAGACCAAAAATAAATAAATAACTAAAAATTAAAAATCTCCCATTTAAAAGTAGAAAAATGAGAGAACTATACATATTTATTTTTGTATTCTTTAGGAGGCTGAAAACAATATCATGATTTTTGCAATATTCTGTGCTTTCTGAAGCAAGAGGCTTCATTTCGTGTCTGAAATTAATCAAGGCAGAGCTGGGGAAAGTGTAACTGGTATGACTTTCCCACAGAGGTGCAGTCAAATGAGCCCTGGATGAAAAGCCAGGGCTTGAGCACCACCAAGATCCTCACTGAGTCCGTGGTTGCCTCAACCAAGGCACTTTCTAAAATTCTTCAGGATTTATGGTTTGCACCTATACTTTATACTTTTTAAAATGTGTGTGTGTGTGTGTGTGTGTGTGTGTAGCGAGAGCAAGGAGCAAGGAGCAAGAGCCAGAGCAAGAAGAGGTGTTCCAGCAGGGGCAGAGGCGAGGTTGACTCGGGACATAGGTAGGTGATGGGGATGAAGCAATAGAAAATATAGCCCCTAATCTGCCATGGTGAATGTTTGCTCCTGCATATACTGCTCTATTTAGGATCGGGCTCAAACCCAGTCTGCATGGCTACGTTTTTCCAGTTACCCTCCTACTCCAAAATGTAAGTGCTCAGCTAAATCAAGCTGCTAAGTTGTAACTTTGCCCCCCAACCCTCTGGAAGAGCTGTTTTTATACAAGTAGGCACTGTCTTTACTTCCAAGCATCAGATAACTCCACAGAAGGTTGAGAAACTAAGCCATCCTTTTAGTTAAGATGATGGAAATACTTTCAAACAGGTGGGAAGGTAAAAACACCATGGATGTATGTTTTGCGACACTTAACTTATTGAAAACCATATAAGGTATGTTGATTACAGTGGAGAACATAAAACATGGCAAAAATAAATATCTCTGCCACTGATGTCGTACCGGGCCTGGATTTGCTCTCATGGACTGTGACTTCTAAGTTAGAAGCAGTCCTAACATGTGGAGTGATCCAGTTTCTGACTCTTGAGAAATTGAAAGCAAAACAATTAAAGGGAAGAGGGCAATTTATATGGGTAAGTTAGATGGAAAATAATTTTTTTACTCAAAAATATACAAACATCAAATACAGTAAGTCAAAACATATAATAAGAACCTCCACGTACTGTAGGGATACAAAACATAGAAGTGGCTATAGATATCAAATAAAAATTTATATATATAAGCATGGTTGTGATTTCACTATCTTCATTCATATGTATAGTGTGTGTGTATGTATAGTGTAGCATGTATGTATGTATGCAGCATGTTCGATGCTTGAGAGTTCATATTCTAGAGCCAAAATACTTCAATTCAAATCCTGGTCCAGGGTTGAAGCTATAGCCCAGTTAAAATCTGGTCTAATTCCAATTGCTGGTTAGCTATATAATTAGGCAAGTCACCTAAGATCTCTGTGCCTTGATTTTATTATTTGGAAAATGGAGATAATAGTTACCTTATAGAGTAGTTTTGAGGATGAAATAAGTGATAGCTTTTAAGACAGTATCTGGCATATAACACCATCATTTAGTACATTTAATTAAAAAGACAGAAAAAGAATACATATTCAAAGAAAACCATTAAAAATTCCAAGAGAAAAACTGAAGGCACTTAAAGGAAGAAACCTCATTTTCCTGATATTTTATGATGAATCTGAAATGGCCAAAAATATGCTCTATACTTAAGCTAAAATAAAAAGAAGAAGGATAACATCTTTAGTTACTTAAAATTAAATCGTTTGAGCTAGCCTGCACTACTATCCTCAGGCCTCTTGGAGTAAGTCTATAGTGCAGCTCTCCCCGCCGGGACTCCCTAACCCACATTCACCCTTCCATCCCTCCCGCCGTTCTATACTCCTAGTTTGGGCCCTGCACCATTCCTAGTCTTGGGGCCCCAGACACCTGGGGAACCAATACTGTTTCCTGATCCTTCTCACCCAGAGCAACTCAGGCCCTTTCTTGGGCCCCAGGAGCACCGCTTCTGGTCCTGGCCCCATCCTCGCCTCTCTCTGCTTCCCTGGGCCTGCACCACCAGCTAACTCTCCTAGCCTGCACCACTATCCTCAGACCTCCTGGGGTAAGTCTATAGCGCAGCTCTCCGCACTGGGACTCCCTAAGGCACATTCACCCTTCCATCCCCCCCACCGTTCTATACTCCTAGTTTGGGCCCTGTGCCATTCCGAGTCTTGGGGCCCCAGACACCTGGGGAACCAATACTGCTTCCTGACCCTTCCCACCCAGAGAAACTCAGTCCCTTTCTTGGGCACCAGGAGCACCACTTCTGGTCCTGGCCCTGCCCTCATCTCCCTCT